GGGCGGGAGACCCAGGCGAGGCCGCCCTCGGGACCGCCGTCTCTCCCTTGGGCAGGCTGTAAGGTGGAGTCCATCTTCCTGAACGTGGGGGCAGTGAACACACACCGGGAAAGGCCGCAGGTACCACCGGCGGGGGCCGGGGAACGGGGGCCGGGGCCGGGGAACGGGGGCCAAGGTGGGGCAGCCGGCCTAGAGGCTCCTTCGGGGTGAGCTTGGCTTCCCGCCCAGCTGCTCTCCCCCCACTGGGTGCCGTCTGGGGGGGAGCCCCACAGTGGACTGAGCCGAGGAGGGGACCATGAACTGGGTTTGTGGGGGGAGGGCCTTGCCTGCCAGGGGCCGGGCCGGGGCGGGTTCCAGCGAGAGGAACCAGCTGGCTCTCTGCGACTAAGGCAGGCGCTCCGCGAAGTGTCCCAGAACTGCTCCCTGTCATGGGTACCCTCCCACTGAGCCCAGCACCCCGCCTCCACGCTCCCCAGGTCTGCTGCCCGGCCTCTGCCCGTCCGCCCGGGGGCCAGGCCACAGGGGGTCCCACGGGCGGCCTTTCTGCTGAGATCTGACCCTCCCCGAGGAGCAGGAGTGCGGCCGGGCGCCCTGGCCTCTTCCTGGGTGTCCAGCAGCCACGCACCCAGGGCCGCGGAGCCGTGGCTGGGGGGCGGGTAGGGGGGTCAGAGGGGAGTGGAGGGGAGAGGGCGGAGGGCGCGGCAGGGTGGTGCCCGCGGTGAAGGCCTGTTCGTTTCCATGCAGAACGTGGACATCGCGAGGCCCCCAGAGGAGGCGCTGGTCACGGTCCCCGCTCACCAGTGACCCGGCCTCCCCGGTGACCGGCGGCCGCGGTCTCTGCCGACAGGGCCGCCCCAGGCCCGGCCGCCAGCAGGCACCGGGCACCTGCGGCCTGTGAAGGGCGAGACCCCCCGCGGCCACGCTGCCGGCATGGCCGGGACCCTGCAGGCGCCCGCTGGCCGGGTGCGAGGAGAGCCCGCCCCACCCGCCCGCAGGGATGGGGGCTCCCACCACGGACGCTGCTGGCCAGGCCGCGTCCGAGCCGATGGGGAGGCGGGCTCCTGGAGCCGTCATGGCGGCCACTCTGGGGGCCTGAGGAGGAGCCCGAGGAGCTGCTGGCCAGGCCCCACGGCGGCTTCTCAGAAACCCGACAACAGGGAGCGTCGCCCGCCAGGCGCGCTGGCCCGGACTCGGGGGCTGCAGCACCGGGGCCACGGCCACGGTCTGCATTGGTGCCTGTGCCTGCCGCCCACGGTGCCCCCGGATGCCCGCGGTGCCCCCCGATGCCCGCGGTGCCCCCCGATGCCCGCGGTGCCCCCGGATGCCCACGGTGCCCCCAGGTGCCCGCGGTACCCCCAGATGCCCACGGTGCCCCCCGGATACCCACGGTGCCCCGGATGCCCGCGGTGCCCCCGGATGCCCGCGGTGCCCCCGGATGCCCATGGTGCCCCCCAGATGCCCGCGGTGCCCCCAGATGCCCGGAGTGCCCCCCGGATGCCCGCGGTGCCCCCGGATGCCCACGGTGCCCCCGATGCCCGCGGTGCCCCCCGATGCCCGCGGTGCCCCGGATGCCCGCGGTGCCCCCGGATGCCAGCCCCGGCCCCGCCCGCTCTGCGCCTGCACCTTTCCTGTGTCCGTATGGGAACAGCGCCCTTCCCGGCCGGCCGGCCCGGCTGCTGGCGGCAGCGGCTGTGGACGCGGGGAGAGGGGGCCGGGGCCGGGGCCGGGGTGGGGGGCAGGTCCTCGGGGCCGCCCCGTCGGAGCCCAGCCCCGCAGCTCGGGCCCGGCGCACTTTGCTGCTGAGTCGGTGCACTGGAGTCAGTGATGTGTCCGCGGACCCTCTCTGTCGGCCGTGGTCCCTCCGGAGCGGACGGACACCTCTCGGGCTCTGGCTCCGAGGCGAAGCCCTCCCCGCCGTGTCCGGACGGCCTGGCCTGGCCTGGACCTGTCCCCGGCCGGCTGGGCGGGGGGCGGGTCACACAGGGCCGTGGCAGCCCTCCCGCCTCTGCCCGGACGGCTCCGCAGGCCGCCGGCTGCTGGGCCGGCCGCACGTCCTGTCGTCCGGGGCGGTTCCCGCTCTCCCCGAGGGTGGTGTGGGATCGGCACACATCGCACTGTGTCCGCGCTCTTTGCAATAACGCTTTCAAGACCGAAAGGATCCTGAGGGAGGCTGCATGTGGCAGCTCTGCGGACCCCACGCTGTGCCCCTGTCTCCTGAGGGCCTGGGCCCGTCTCCACGCCCTGAGCCAGAGGCAGATGTGGGGGCGGGGGGCCGGGTGGAACCCCATTAAGTGCAGGGTTCTAGGGTCCCTGGAAAGGCGGGTCCCAGATGCTGGCCTCCGGGGGAGGGGAGCCAGCTTTGTGTCAAGGATGGCCCCGGCCCTCATCAACCTATGAGCCTGAGGGTTGGGGTTCGATTCCCAGTCAGGGCACAGGCCTGGGTTGTGGGCTTGAGGGGCGTGCAGGAGGCAGCTGGTCCATGATTCTCTCATCACTGATGTCTCTCTCTCTCCCTCTCTGAAATCAATAAAAATAAATGTTCTTTAAAAGAAAGCAACGTTTTAAAATAAAGAAGGGGGCGGGGCAGTGTGACCCTGTGCTGTTCCCACGGGGCCCTGAGAGGACGCCACCCGCTCCAGCAGGGCCTGGGCTGTGGCCTGATGTTGGGGGCGGTGGGGGCACACCCTCTCCTGCAGCTGGGTCTCAGCGGGCAGCCCTCCGGGCACCTGGGGGTGTCCCCGCTGCGTCTCCACACCTGGCAGCTCAGCACTGCTCCTGGCCCTGTCACCTGGTCCTGGTCTCTGCACTGAAATCGGGAACCATCTCTGCCCTGGCTGGTGTGGCTCAGTGGATAGTGTCAGTCTGTGGACTAAAGGGTCCCAGGTTCCATTCCAGTCAAGAGCATGTACCTTGGTTGTGGACACATCCCCAGTAGGATGTTCCTAACGCTCCCTCTCTCTTCCTCTCTGTAAAATCTATATATATATATGTGTGTGTGTGTGTGTGTGTGTGTATATGTATATAAATAGTAAAATATATATTATTGATTTCAGGGGGCGGAGAGAGAGAGAAACATCCATGATGAGAGAATCAGGGCCACCTGCCTCCCCCATGCCCCCCTCCTGCACGTGCCCTTGACGGGACTCCAACTGTGACCTCTCCTTCCTAGGTCACTGGCTGGGCTGGCATCTTTTTAAAAAATTAAATCTTATTGCCTTTTTAAAGATTGTAATGTTTTTATTGCTTTTGGGGAGAGGAAGGTAGAGGGAGCTTCCATGAGCTGCTGCTCCTTGGGGCCGGGGCATCTTGGCATCCATCGACTCTCTGGGCCTTGGGCGTCTGTGCCCGGGGCTGTGGGCTCCAGTGGCCGGGGCTGTGGGCTCCTGTGCCCGAGGCTGTGGGCTCCAGTGGCCGGGGCTGTGGGCTCCTGTGCCCGAGGCTGTGCCCGGGGCTGTGGGCTCCAGTGCCCAGAGCTGTGCCCTCCAGTGGCCGGGGCTGTGGGCTCCTGTGCCCGGGGCTGTGCCCTCCTGTGCCCGGGGCTGTGGGCTCCTGTGCCCGGGGCTGTGGGCTCCTGTGCCCGGGGCTGTGCCCTCCTGTGCCCGGGGCTGTGGGCTCCTGTGCCCGGGGCTGTGGGCTCCAGTGCCCGGGGCTGTGGGCTCCTGTGCCCGGGGCTGTGCCCTCCAGTGGCCGGGGCTGTGGGCTCCTGTGCCCGGGGCTGTGGGCTTCTGTGCCCGGGGCTGTGGGCTCCTGTGCCCGGGGCTGTGCCCTCCAGTGGCCGGGGCTGTGGGCTCCTGTGCCCGGGGCTGTGCCCTCCTGTGCCCGGGGCTGTGGGCTCCTGTGCCCGGGGCTGTGCCCTCCTGTGCCCGGGGCTGTGCCCTCCTGTGCCCGGGGCTGTGGGCTCCTGTGCCCGGGGCTGTGCCCTCCTGTGCCCGGGGCTGTGGGCTCCTGTGCCCGGGGCTGTGGGCTCCTGTGCCCGGGGCTGTGGGCTCCTGTGCCCGGGGCTGTGCCCTCCTGTGCCCGGGGCTGTGCCCTCCAGTGCCCAGGGCTGTGCCCTCCAGTGCCCGGGGCTGTGGGCTCCTGTGCCCGGGGCTGTGGGCTCCAGTGCCCGGGGCTGTGGGCTCCTGTGCCCGGGGCTGTGCCCTCCAGTGGCCGGGGCTGTGGGCTCCTGTGCCCGGGGCTGTGCCCTCCTGTGCCCGGGGCTGTGGGCTCCTGTGCCCGGGGCTGTGCCCTCCTGTGCCCGGGGCTGTGGGCTCCTGTGCCCGGGGCTGTGCCCGGGGCTGTGGGCTCCTGTGCCCGGGGCTGTGCCCTCCTGTGCCCGGGGCTGTGCCCTCCTGTGCCCGGGGCTGTGGGCTCCTGTGCCCGGGGCTGTGGGCTCCAGTGGCCGGGGCTGTGGGCTCCTGCCACCCGGGCCAGGCTGGGTCGCGGGGGCCGGGGAGGAGGCCCTAGAAACGGGGGCGCCCCCAGGGGCTGAGCGTGCCGGGTCCTCGGAGTGAGTCCCGCCAGGCTCCGGACCGGACTCCGGAGGGGGGCCGGACAGGCGCTGGCTCTGCCGGGGGCGCTGGACTGCGGGTGCCCGTCGCGGGGCGGAGCGGGGACGCCTCCTTCTTTCTCCTCCTCCCCCCCTCCTCCTCTTCCTCCCCCTCCGCCTCCCCTCCCCCTCCCCCTCCCCTCCCCTCCCCTCCCCTCCCCCTCATCCTCTTCCTCCCCCTCCCCCTCCCCTACTCCTCCCCCTTCCCCTCCCCTCCCCTCCCCCTCCCCTCCCCCTCATCCTCTTCCTCCGCCTCCCCCTCCTCCCCCCTCCCGGACAAGGCTCCCGGCGGGGCGGGGCTTCTGGGGGCGGGGCCGCTGTGCGGGGCGGGGCCGCTGTGCGGGGCGGGGCCGCTGTGCGGGGCGGGGCTCCGGGCGGGGCGGGGCCGCTGTGCGGGGCGGGGCTCCGGGGCGGGGCGGGGCCGCTGTGCGGGGCGGGGCTCCGGGCGGGACGGGGCGGCGCCCAGGAGGAGCGGCGCCCGAGCCTGTGCTTCCGGCTGGCGGTCCCGCTGCGCGTCTGTCCGCCGCCGTCTGTCCGCCCACCGCGCACCATGGCGCCGGCGCCGCGGGTCCTGCTGCTGCTGCTGCTGCTGCCGCCGCCGGGGGGTGAGCGGGGTTCCGGGGGGTGAGCGGGGTCCCCGGGGGGTGAGCGGGGTCCCCGGGGGGTGAGCGGGGTCCCCGGGGGGTGATCTGGGGTCCCGGGGGATGATCTGGGGTCCCGGGGGGTGAGCGGGGTCCCGGGGGATGATCTGGGGTCCCGGGGGGTGAGCGGGGTCCCCGGGGGGTGAGCGGGGTCCCCGGGGGGTGAGCGGGGTCCCCGGGGGGTGATCTGGGGTCCCGGGGGATGATCTGGGGTCCCGGGGGGTGAGCGGGGTCCCCGGGGGGTGAGCGGGGTCCCCGGGGGGTGATCTGGGGTCCCCGGGGGTGAGCGGGGTTCCGGGGGGTGATCTGGGGTCCCCGGGGGGGAGCGGGGTCCCCGGGGGGGGAGCGGGGGCCCCGGGGGGTGATCTGGGGTCCCCGGGGGGTGATCTGGGGTCCCGGGGGTGAGCGGGGTCCCCGGGGGGTGAGCGGGGTCCCCGGGGGGTGATCTGGGGTCCCCGGGGGGTGAGCGGGGTCCCCGGGGGGAGAGCGGGGTCCCCGGGGGGTGAGCGGGGTCCCCGGGGGATGATCTGGGGTCCCGGGGGGTGAGCGGGGTCCCCGGGGGGTGATCTGGGGTCCCCGGGGGGTGATCTGGGGTCCTCGGGGGGTGATCTGGGGTCCCGGGGGTGAGCGGGGTCCCCGGGGGGTGAGCGGGGTCCCCGGGGGATGATCTGGGGTCCCGGAGGGTGAGCGGGGTCCTCGGGGGGTGAGCGGGGTCCCCGGGGGATGATCTGGGGTCCCGGAGGGTGAGCGGGAGTCCTCGGGGGGTGAGCGGGGTCCCCGGGGTGATCTTGGGTCCCCGGGAGGTGAGCGGGGTCCCCGGGGGGTGAGCGGGGTCCCCGGGGGATGATCTGGGGTCCCGGGGGGTGAGCGGGGTAACCGGGGGATGATCTGGGGTCCCGGGGGGTGAGCGGGGTCCCCGGGGGGTGATCTGGGGTCCCCGGGGGGTGATCTGGGGTCCTCGGGGGGTGATCTGGGGTCCCGGGGGTGAGCGGGGTCCCCGGGGGGTGAGCGGGGTCCCCGGGAGGTGAGCGGGGTCCCCGAGGGGTGAGCGGGGTCCCCGGGAGGTGAGCGGGGTCCTCGGGGGGTGATCTGGGGTCCCGGAGGGTGAGCGGGGTCCCCGGGGTGGTCTTGGGTCCCCGGGGGGTGATCTGGGGTCCCCGGGGGTGAGCGGGGTCCCCGGGGGGTGATCTGGGGTCCCCGGGGGGTGAGCGGAGTCCTCGGGGGGTGATCTGGGGTCCCGGGGGGTGATCTGGGGTCCCGGGGGTGATCTGGGGTCCCCGGGGGTTGAGCGGGGTCCCCGGGGGGTGAGCGGGGTCCTCGGAGGGTGATCTGGGGTCCCCGGGGGGTGATCTGGGGTCCCCAGGGGGTCAGCGGTGTCCTCGGGGGGTGATCTGGAGCCCCGGGGGGTGATCTGGGGTCCCCGGGGGGTGAGCGGGGTCCCCGGGGGGTGATCTGGGGTCCCGGGGGGTGATCTGGGGTCCCCGGGGGGTCAGCGGTGTCCTCGGGGGGTGATCTGGAGCCCCGGGGGTGATCTGGGGTCCCGGGGGGTGATTTGGGGTCCCGGGGGTGATCTGGAGCCCCGGGGGTGATCTGGGGTCCCCGGGGGTGATCTGGGGTCCCCGGGGGGTGAGCGGGGTCCCCGGGGGGTGATCTGGGGTCCCGGGGGGTGATCTGGGGTCCCCGGGGGGTCAGCGGTGTCCTCGGGGGGTGATCTGGGGTCCCCGGGGGTGATCTGGGGTCCCCGGGGGGTGAGCGGGGTCCCCGGGGGTGATCTGGAGCCCCGGGGGGTGATCTGGGGTCCCCGGGGGGTGAGCGGGGTCCCCGGGGGGTGATCTGGGGTCCCCGGGGGGTGAGCGGGGTCCCCGGGGGGTGATCTGGGGTCCCGGGGGGTGAGCGGGGTCCCGCGGGGAGGGGAGCGGGGGCGGCACCCCCGGAGCTCGCAGCCCCCGCCCCCCGCACCCCCTCCCGCCCCCGCGCCGCCCGGACTGACCCGGACCCGGACCCCGGGCCGCAGCCAGTCCTGGAGCTGGGGTGGGGGCTGTGGGCCCCGAGGTCCTGGGGGGGCCCGGGGCTGGGGCGCGTCTCCCCGCCTCCCTGGCCTCTGCTTGCGGCTGGGCCCGCCCTGCCCTCCGGCCGGCCGGTGCTCCAGATCCAGCCGAACCGCTCAGTCCCTGCTGGTGGAGGGAGGAGGGGGGGAGGGGGAGGAGGGGGGGAGGGGAGGGGGGAGGGGGAGGAGGAGGAGGGGGAGAAGGGGGAGGGGGGAGGGGGGAGGGGGAGAAGGGGGAGGGGGAGGGGGGAGGGGGGAGGGGGAGGAGGGGAGGGGGGAAGGAGGGGAGGGGGGGGGAGGGGAGGGGGAGGAGGGGGAGGGGGGGAGGGGGGGAGGGCAGGGGGGCGTCTGTGCTCCTCGATGGGGTCCCTGGAACGCCCCTGGGGGGGGCCTGCCCTGGCGGTGCATCCACAGGGCCAGGCTGGGCCGTTAGGTGCGGAATGGGCACCCCAGCGGGAAGCCAGGGAGCGGGGAGGGTGCTTCCTCAGGGGAAGGGCCTTGTTTCCTGGAGGGCTGGGGGCACCCGAGGGCCCAGGGGGGAACAGCAGGCAGAGCCCTGGCCGGTCCGAGGAGGCTGGGTCCGGGGAGGCTGGGAGAGCCCTGGCCGGTGTGTGAGGTCAGAGGACACTGGGCTCTGGGCCGAGACGGGGGCAGGGTTGTGTGTGGGGGGGGCAGGATTGTGGGGGGGGGGCAGGGTTGTGTGTGTGGGGGCAGGGTTGTGTCGGGGGAGGGGCAGGGTTGTGTCGGGGGGGGCAGGGTTGTGTGTGTGGGGCAGGGTTGTGGGGGGGGCAGGGTTGTGGGGGGGACAGGGTTGTGGGGGGGCAGGGTTGTGTGTGGGGGGCAGGGTTCTGTGTGGGGGGACAGGGTTGTGTGGGGGGGCAGGGTTGTGTGGGGGGGCAGGGTTGTGGGGGGGGGCAGGGTTGTGTGTGGGGGGCAGGGTTGTATGTGGGGGGCAGGGTTGTGGGGGGGGCAGGGTTGTGGGGGGGGCAGGGTTGTGGGGGGGGGCAGGGTTGTGTGTGGGGAGGGCAGGGTTGTGTGGCCCAAGGCTGGCCAGGGTGTTGCCGTCCAGCCTGTGCCCTGGGCCTGGGCGGCCGGGAGGAGGAGGCCTGGAGGCCGAGGGTGGGAAACGGTGAGTGTGGACGGCTGGGGCGAGACTGTTCTTCCAGACCCTCTGCCTCTGGCCTGCTCCGCGGGCTGTGGATGGGAGCCTCCGGCGAGTGACCGGGCAGGGCAGGGCTGAGGGTGGGCCTGGCCGGGCAGACCCACAGAAAGCTCAGCCCCGTCAGAGGCGGGTCCTCCTGTGTGCGGGGGGCAGGCGGGCTGGGCAGGGCTGTGTGGGGCGGCCCTCCTGGCCACGCTGAGCCGTGTCCCCGCTCCAGCCCAGGGCGACGTGTGCCTCCTGAACACCGGAGACAGCCTCTCCCCCAAGGCCTGCCCCCAGTTCTGCTGCGGCACCTGCGACCGCCAGTACTGCTGCCCCGACGTCCTCAAGAGGGCGGTCTGGAGCCAGGGCTGCGACCACCGCCTGGACAGGTGCGTGCGGGCGCCATGGGTGGGCCAGGGCCGCGGGCGCCCGCCCCTCCCGCCTCTCAGCCCTTTCAAGATGGTGGCGGACACCTGGCCGCGTCTGATTCTTTCTTATTTTAATTTTTTTTTGTACATCCTCACCTGAGGGTGTTTTCCCTTTGATTTTTAGGGAGAGTGGGAAAGAGAGGGAGAGCAGAGAGAAACATCCATGTGAGAGAAACACATCCACCGGCTGCCCTGGCCGGGAGGAGCCTGCAGCCGAGGTACCTGCCCTTGGCCGGAATCGAACCCGGGACCGCTGGCCCACAGACCGGGGCTCTACCCACTGGGCCACGCCAGCTGGGGCAGGCTCCAGTTATTAACCTGCTGCATTATTTTTCAGTCTTATGATAGAATGTTATCACTGCCCCAGCTTTTCTGCGATCTCCCTGATCAGGGCGTTTCCCTGAACGGCCGTGCCTGGTAACCCGTGTCTGCCCCCCCCACCTCCACATTCCTGTTCGCTGTAGCGTGTTTTCTGTTTGTGCCGTCTGGCCGGGCGATCGGACAGCTGTGACTGTGTGTGCCTGACGCGCGTTGGCAGAGGTGAAGGTGGACGTGGAGCTGGGGTCCCTCCGGGGAGGGCGGAAGTGGCCTCTGTCAGGGGCCCGGGCGCTCAGCTCGCCTGCTGATGGCGGGCCACCTGGCATCGGCAGGTGCCCCGGACTCACCTCCTGGATTTCCCTCCCAGCCTTCCCGCCCTGAGTCCCAGCTGGGCACTCCCCACCATTCCACTGAGGAAAGCGTGCACACTGGTTTTTAAAAATATATTTTTATTGATTTTAAGTTTAGAGAGGGAGTGAGAGAGGAGAGAGAGAAACGTGGATCAGCTGCCTCCCCACACACTGACTCAGGATTAAACCCAAAACCCGAGTCCACGTCCTTGGCCGGATCGGATCGGCCCCTTCGGTCCGCGGCTGGCACTCAGCCCACCGTGCCAGCCGCCGGGCGGTTGTTATTGTTAAATCTCGGCTGTGCCCGCAGCCTCTTCCGCTTCCCGTCCTGCTTCTTCCTTCCCTGTCACTTCTCCTCGCGGGGGCTGTCCTGCGATGGCGGTGGCGTTGGCTCCGAGCTCCTCGGACCCTCTTCGCACCTGCCCTTTGGGGGCCTGCACAATTTTTCCCGCCTTCTTGAGTTTAATCCCATCTCACCATTGAGGTTCTGTTCCTTCATGATTTATTTAGCCCCCGGGGTGTGTTTTTTTTTTTTAAATTTAATTTAAATATTTTTGTACCAGATTAATTCGTTTCCCAAGGTCTGAGTTATTTTCGGCATTTTTTTAAATACTGTGGCATTGAACTCTTCTATTACTGATTTTTTAAAAATATACTTTATTTTTTTTTTTCGAGAGGAAGGGAGAGGGATAGAGAGTTAGGAACATCAATGAGAGAGAAACATGGACCAGCTGCCTCCTACACGCCTCCCCCCCCCCCCCCCGGGATGTGCTCCCAACTAAGGTACATGCCCTTGACCGGAATCGAACCCGGGGCCGACGCTCTATCCACCGAGCCAAACCGGTCAGGGCCTGTTACTGATTTTTAACTCCACCCCACTGTGTCTGAGAAGGGACTTCAATGTCCGCTGTCTCCTCAGATCTGTTGAGATGGGGGTTATGGTCTCACGCGTAGTCTGTCCTGGGGAAGGTCCCGTGTGCACGTGAGAAGAACGCGTGGCATATGCGTGGCTTCGTCCCCCGAGACCCTAGGAGCGAGCGAGCCACCCGCCCTCCGGACGCCGGGCGCAGTCCCGTGGCTCCCGGCGTGTTCCGTGTGCTGAGGAGGTGCGTGTGCCCTGGCCTGTGGGGTTGGCCGTGCTCATCACAGGCTTCCTCTCCGCACCCGGCAGCATCCAGAAGCACCTGGAGGAGGCGGCCGCGTTGCTGGAGAAGTCGGACTCGCTGCTGTCCGACGTAGACACTGACCCGATGCCGGGGTGAGTGCGGGGGGCTCGGCGGGCGCGGGAGGGCGGCGAGGTCTGGGAGGAGACAGTCATTGGGGTGTGCCCCCTGGAAGCGACTCTATCCTTAGGCTGGGGCGTTGTGTCCTCCTCGGGGGCGGGGCTGGGAGTGGCCGAGGTGGGTTGGCGTTTGGAAGGCCAGGGGAGGGGTTCGGGTTGACTCGGACGGGCGGGTGCACTGAGCGGGAGACAGTGATGGGTGGTGGTGGTGGGTGTATCGGGATGGGCCAGTGGCCTGGCTCCCCTGCACATCCCGGGAGGCCGGGCAAACCACCCCCCCTTGTCACCCTTTGTTCTCTTTTGCCATAAAATCCGTCATCCTTTCTCTTCTTGGGGCCACTTCACCCTTTTAGTCTTGGCATTCCATGAAGCCCAGGAAAACCGGGAAGTCCATGGTCACCCATAGATCTATCTCTCTCTATCTATCTATCTATGCATCTATCTATCTGTTTTAAACTAGAGGCCTGGTGCATGAGAATTCATGCACTGGAGTGGGGGGACCTTCAGCCCAGCCTGCCCCCTCCCACAGTTCGGGAACCCTCAGGGGCAGGAGGCAAACTGGCCATCAGGGAAGGAATGCCCCATCACACCTCTGCTGCTGCCACTGCCGGCAGTGCCAGCCTCCGTCGGCCTGGTTACCGGAGCCTCGGTGGCCCTGGGAGGCTGGGAGCCGCCACCTGAGGCTTGTCTGCACCTCGGCTGGCCCTGGATGGTTGAGCACTGCCATCTTGTTTGTGTTGCCATCTTTGAGGGAGTGGCAGTTAATTAGCATATTCCTCCTTATTGGCTGTGGGTGCCACCATCTTTGCAATGGTGTGAGGGTCAATTAGCAGGTCCCCTCTATTAGGATGTTTTTAGTGATTTTATTGAAGGGAGAGGGACAGAGAGATTGAAACATTGATGGGAGAGAAATCGGTTGGCTGCCTGCTGCTCAGCCCCCACTGGGGATCGAGCACGCAGCCCGGGCATGTGCCCCGACACCCACATTTTAAATCTCTCATGTTTGGGCCTTTGAGCCACAAGTCTCTCTGGTGTAAAAGATACACCAGCCCTGGCTCATTTGGGTCAGTGGATGGAGCGTCAGCCCGCAGACTGAAGGGCCCCGGGTTCGACTCCAGTCAAGGGCACGGGTCTCCGGCCCCGATTAGGGCGCGTGCAGGAGGCAACCAGTGAATGTGTCTCTCACATCCGTGTTTCTCTCTGTCTCCCTCCCTCCCTTCCACTTTCTAAAAAAAAAAAAAAAAAAAAAGTCAATGGGAAAATAGGGTCCGTGAGGGTTAACAAAACAAACAAAAAGACACGCTAGACTGAGTGAGGTCCGAGAATCTGGGGATGGAGAAAAGCTTTCTGATCAGGCTCCTCGCGGGCAGGCCCTTGTCCAGAAGAGGCTTCTCTGGTTTTGTTTTCTTTCGGAGGCGGAGCGGGGAGAGGGCGGAGGGGGAAGAGGGTGGCAGCCGTGCTGGGCTCTGCGGGCGGCACCGGCTGTGGCTTTAAGAGGCTCTGCTTCCGGCCTCCGACGTCAGGGGCGCGGGTTCGGGTTCGCTTTCCTTTTCCCCGAAGGCGAAGGCGGGGAGGGGGAGGAGAAGGGGGAGGAGGGGGGACGGGATGGGGGAGCGGGGAGTCCGCGCAGGACGCCGTTAGGGAGCGGCCATGGGGTGAGAGGGCGTGGGCACCGCGTGAGTGTGTGTGTGAATGTGAGTGTGTGTGTATGTGTGTGTGATTGTGTGTGTGATTGTGTGTATGTGATTGTGTGTGTATGTGAGTGAGTGTGTGTGATTGTGTGTATGTGAGTGTGTGTGTATGTGAGTGTGTGATTGTGTGTGTGAATGTGAGTGTGTGTATGTGAGTGTGTGTGTATGTGTGTGTGATTGTGTGTATGTGAGTGTGTGTGTATGTGAGTGTGTGTATGTGAGTGTGAGTGTGTGCGGCGGGGGCTGAGCGCGGCCCGCCCTCCGGTCGCTGGTCTGGGGAAGTGTCCCCGCTCCGGCCGCGGGCGGGCGGGCACCCACTGGGCCGTCCTGCGGGCGCGGGGCTGCGGGAAGGGCCGCCCTCCGTCCCCGGCGGTGACCTCCGCCCCGCGGCTTCCTGGGAGGCCGCTCTCCGCCGGCCGGCGGCCTCCCGCCCCGGAGGCAGCCCGCGTGTCCGCCGGGCGGGGAGCCCAGGGGCACCGGGACCGCCCGCCGGGCTGAGCCCGCAGCGAGCGGGCTGCTCCCCGGGCCGCGGCTGCCGGCCGGGACCTGGCCCAGCTGGGTTTTGGCTTAAACCAGGGCGCCGGCTGCGGTCTGTGCCCACGGCCAGGCCGGGGGCCGCGGGGGACGGGGCGTGGCCGGGGGCGGGGGGCGGTGCGGGGGGGACGGAGGGGACGCACGGAGCCCGGGCGCGGCGCTGGGACCCGCAGCCGGGCTGCCGGGAGGAAGCGGCGGTTCGGGCTCAGCCACACGCCCGGAAGCGGCTCTGCCCGCGGCCCGGCGCGTCCTCCCGCGGGAGGGGTGCGGGGGCGGGCCCTGGCCCGGCGGAGGCCCCGGTCACACCGGCTCTTCGGCAGGTTCGGGGCCACCATAGCCATCGGCCTGACCATCTTCGTGCTCTTCATCGTCACCATCATCGTGTGCTTCACCTGCTCCTGCTGCTGCCTCTACAAGATGTGCTGCCGCCCGCGCCGTGAGCACCGCCCCCCCGGCCCTGATTGGGTTACGCTGGGGGAAGGGCGGGGCCAGGGCGCCCGGGCCCTGATTGGGTTACGCTGGGGGAAGGGCGGGCCAGGAGCTCCCGGGCCCTGATTGGGTTACGCTGGGGGAAGGCGGGGCCAGGGCGCCCGGTCCCTGATTGGGTTACGCTGGGGGAAGGGCGGGCCAGGGCGCCCGGGCCCTGATTGGGTTACGCTGGGGGAAGGGCGGGGCCAGGGCGCCCGGGCCCTGATTGGGTTACGCTGGGGGAAGGGCGGGCCAGGGCGCCCGGGCCCTGATTGGGTTACGCTGGGGGAAGGGCGGGGCCAGGGCGCCCGGGCCCTGATTGGGTTACGCTGGGGGAAGGGCGGGCCAGGAGCTCCCGGGCCCTGATTGGGTTAGCTGGAGGAAGGGCGGGGCCAGCCGAGGCCCTGACGAGCTTCTCTCCGCAGCGGTGGTGACCACCACCACGGCGACCACCGTGGTGCACGCCCCGTACCCCCAGCCTCCCGCCGTGCCGCCCAGCTACCCCGGGCCGTCGTACCAGGGCTACCACCCCATCCCCCCGCAGCCAGGGATGGTGGCAGCACCCTACCCGGCGCAGTACCCACCGCCTTACCCGGCCCATCCGGCCCATCCCGTGGGCCCGCCGGCCTACCACGAGACCTTGGCTGGTGAGTACGGGGCCAGCTCTGACCCCCGACCCCCGCTCCCGCGGTGCCCGCGGCTCATCTCTTCCGCTCTGTTTGCAGGGGATGCAGCCATGGCCTATCCTGCCAGCCAGCCTCCTTACAACCCAGCCTACATGGACCCCCCGAAGGCCACCCGCTGAGCGCAATGCAACTCTGGCTGCCACTTGATACGTGGTGTGTGTGTGTGTGTGTGTGTGTGTGTGTGTGTGCGCGCCGTTTGTACACTTGTGATGACAAGGTGGGGACACTCCCACCAGAGTTGCTGGAACCGTGCTTTGTTCTCTTCACTTCAAACCGTGCTTCCTGGAAGTCTCAAGCAGAACTCACAGAATGGGGAGGCCTTCTGTGGGCAGGGAGCACCCTGGCTCGGGTCTGCAGTGGCCAGCCCTTCCCAGAGAGCTGGGAGGCCGGCAGGGGCTGGGCCGGCTGGGCTGGGTGTCCGTCCCCTCGTTCCCTGGAGCCAGGAGCTCCTGCGCCCTCCGGAGACCGTCTGGAGCCACTCCCGACCCGGTGCTGGCTGCCTGGCCCCCACCCATCGGACAGGGTGGTCTCTGTCCACCCACACACTCAGGTGTCCTCCCCAGTGTCTGTTATTTTTAGCCAAGCTTTTTTTTTTTTTTTTTTTTTGCCTCTTTTCTGTTTTTAAATGTTGCTGAGGCTGAAACCCCTGGTCCTAGAGGGACACTGCCCAGAGAGGGACCTCCTGCCCTGACAGTTCCTGCCTCCCTCGCACCTGCTCCTGGCCCTAGCTCCGCTGTCCCGGCAGCGGGTCCCGGGGGCTGCTGGCCCAGATGCCAATACCTCGGCGTCCCGTCCCTCTGTCTCTGGATCTGTCTCCACTTTGTACTGTTGTACTGTTGATGCATCTGAGTCTGTTTATAATAAACGCAGAAATTTGGAGCTTCTGGCCCTTCTTTAAAGACTTGAAAAGATTGATTTTTAGAGGATGGGAAAGGAACGTCAATGTGGGAACAAATCCTCTGGCTGCCTCCTGCATGCTCCCTCCCTGCTGGGGATCCAGCTGGCAGCCCGGGCATGTGCCCTGACCGGGAGTCAGACCAGCAGCCTTCTGGTGCCCAGGCGGTCGCTCAGCCAGCTGAGCCGCACCGGTGCAGCTGCCTGGGGAAATGGGCCGGTACCGGTTCTTTCCAGCACTTGGACTTCCAGGTTTTCCCTGCTAGCATTGGGCTCAGGTGTCTGACCTTCCTGCTAGGGAGGATGGACAGAGGGACATGGATGTGCCGCCCTCTGCCCTCCGGGGGCCTGAGCGGGCAGAGGCGGCGAGGAAGTGGAGGCACGCAGGCACTCAGGCGGGCGTCTTTATTGTCAGGCTGTCCTCAGCTACTGCTCAGGCGAGCCCTGGGACAGCCCATACAGCACGGCCAGCGCCACGGTCAGCAAGGCCAGCAGGCTCAGGGGGGCCAGCAGCCCCTCCCTGGGCGAGGCCCCGGGGCCCTTCCCCGGAGGAAGGATGCTGGCCCCAAGGCCGGGACCGGCGTGCCTGGCTCTGCCCAGGAGTGCAGAGGCCGCGGCGGCCGGAGCCGGGGGGGCCGTGGCCCCGTACATGGGCTCCACGGCACTGAAGGGCCTGGCGTGGGCGTCCACCCACCGGAGCAGGGCCCGGGGCCTCCACTGGCAGACGCCGAGCAGGGCGAGGACGTCGCCCTCGGCCGTGTGCGAGTCCGGGGGCGCCTGCCCGTAGAGGCGGGCGTAGACGTTGCCCAGGCTGTAGCTCTTCCGCGGGCCCGGTGCCAGTGCCGGCTGCTCCAGAGCCTTCAGGGCGGCGATGCTGTCCACACAGAAGCCCCCGTCCAGCGCGCCGGCGAGGCCCAGCGCGGCCAGCTCCGCCCGCAGCAGGGGGAAGTCGTAGCGGTCCCCGTTGTGCGCCACGAGGCACCAGGGCTGCGGCTGGCGCCGCAGGAAGGCGCGGAGCAGGTGGGCCAGGTCGGCGTCGAAGCGCTGGCGGCCGTGCGCTGCCAGCGTGGCTGTGCTCAGGCCGGTGATCTCGCTGGCGGCGGGGCTGCAGGCCTTCCCGGGGGCCACGCACAGGGAGAGCTTGTCCACCACGCGGGGCGGGGCGGGCGCCGCGGGAGGCCGCTGCGGGGCCGGGGCGCTCTCCAGGGCACACCTGTGCACGGCCAGCAGGCACAGCTCCGTGATCTTGGGCTGCGAGAAGGGCAGGCCGGTGGCCTCCAGGTCCAAGAAGACGAGGGTCTGCATGGGGCCTGGGGGCGGGGCCTGCGAGCGCATAGTGGACGCTGCCGGGCCTGGGAGGACAGAGGGGGGTGAGGCCCAGGGACGCGGTGGAGGCCCAGGGACGCGGTGGAGGCCCAGGGAGGGGGTGAGGCCCAGGGAGGGGGTGAGGCCCAGGGACTCGGTGGAGGCCCAGGGAGGGGTGAGGCCCAGGGACACAGTGGAGGTGGAGGCCCAGGGACGCGGTGGAGGCCCAGGGACGCGGTGGAGGCCCAGGGAGGGGGTGAGGCCCAGGGACGCGGTGGAGGCCCAGGGAGGGGTGAGGCCCAGGGACGCAGTGGAGGTGGAGGCCTAGGGATGGGGTGGAGGCCCAGGGATGCGGTGGAGGCCCAGGGACGCAGTGGAGGTGGAGGCCTAGGGACGCGGTGGAGGCCCAGGGAGGGGTGAGGCCCAGGGACGCAGTGGAGGCGGAGGCACCACTCTGGCCCCGCACAGGCCCCATCAGGTTGCTGAGCCCCAGGACCCACCATCAAGGCAGGAAGCCAGAGGGGCAGGTGGTGGCTTGTGGGATCCGCACTCCGCTGGGGGAGGGTTTCTCCCCGAGTACCCACCCAGTCTGGGGGTGGCCGGGGTGGGAGTGGGGGCGCGGAGTCCTTGGCCTTCCCACCCGGCCCACCTCAGGGTCCGCACTTACCACGCGCAGGCAGGCAGGTGGGTGGCAGTCACTCGCACGGCACACCGCACACCGCACACGTTCTCGCTGCTGGCCCGGAGGCGGGAAGTGAAACTTAGCCGGAGCCCGCCTCCAGCTGGCGTGCGGCTGGGCCCGCCCTGCTAGTCAGCCTGTCTGGTTCCTCTGTGCCAGCACCCATGCCGCCCAGAGCTCCCGGCCCCGTGACTCCACAAGGCCTCAGACCTACAGCCGTGCCTGCTGGCTGGCACAGCGCACCCGTGAGAGCAAGCCAGGAGGCCGGGCAGAGGTGCCAGGCTGCGGGGAAGGCCCTCAGGGGCCTCAGCTGGCACTTGGCTCCCGCCTGAGCCCTCCCCAGGCAGCCCCGCCTCGCTGTACAATGGTCTCTTCCCAGGGCTCAGCCCGGGGCCATGACTCAGGACGACTCCACAGCAGGCAGGGCTCCCTCCTCCGGCAGCTGTTGCCATAGGGACGCTCCCGGAAGGAGGACCCAGCCTTCCCTGTGTCGCACTCCCTCCCTCCCCCTCGCCAGCACAGACCAGACTCAGGCAACAAAGCGCTGTTCTCAGGGCTTTAATGGCCTGAGGGCGCCAGGCTGCTCGGCCTCAGCCGCAGTCCATGTCGGGGTCTTCGGCGTCAGGATCCGCTGCGCAGAGGTCATCCAGGGCAGCCTCTGCACCGGACAAGAGGGCTCTGCTCCGCGGAGGCCGGAAGTGCCAGAGCAGAGCCCGCCTCCCTGCTGCTTCCTTCCCCTCCCCTCCCCTTCCCTCCCCTCCCCTCTCCTCCCCTCTCCTCCCTGGCAGGAGCTGACCCGTCCCCTCCAGCCCAGGCCTCCTCCCTCAGCTACTGGAGCAAAGTGATACCAGGCAATCAGCAGGGATGTTTGTGGAAAACCGAGGCCCTGCCAGCCCACCCGACAGGGCCGCAGGCCGCCGGCGCTGGCCAGGCTGTGGACGGGCGCAGGCAGGACCCACGCTCACCCTCGCTGTCGGTGAGGTCCGGGAGGCCGCGGAGCAGCGCGCTGACGCCGGGCAGGGCCTGGTCGAACTGGTGCAGGACGCCCACGCAGTGCACGGCAAAGAGCTTGTCCCTCTGAGACAGGCTGTGCAGCAGCAGCACCGCGTCCCGCAGGCAGCGCACCGTGCGCCTCTGCAGCGCCGTCCAGGGGGCCCGGCCGGCCCGGCGCACCGTCAGCCACTGCCTGTGCAGCACCACGACGAGCACCCGGACCACCTGGGTGCAGGCCGAGGTCAGGCCACACCTGCACCCACAGCCTGCTCAGCCCCGGACCCGCCGCACACCGCCCCTGCCCGCCCCCCGCCGGGCACGCACCTCCACGTAGCACTGGCAGCTGGAGCCGGTCACCGGGGACGAGGGGCTCTGCATGCCCAGCTTGGCCAGCAGCCACACGGCCTGGAGCGAGAGCAGACGTCCGGAGACCGGGCTCAGCGAGGCCTCTCGGCTTCACCGAGCCCCACGCTCGCCTGCCTGAACGGTCCAGGACACGGGGGTACGTCCCCCAGACCAGCTCAGGACCAGCACCTGTGTCCCCCAACAACCCGCATGCCTCCGGACCGGGCTCCCCTCGCACCGGGCGGTGCTGGCTGGGGGCGGGAATGAACGAGCAGCTCCAGGGGCGGGCGTCCTCACCTCCTGCTCCAGGTGGAGCCACTGCGTGTCCGTGGCCGCGCGGTCGGGCCTGGAGGTGACGTACGTGTACAGCAGCAGCAGGAGGCAGCCATCTGGAAGGGGCACCTTCGCTCAGGGTCCCCGACGAGCTGGGAGCCCCGGCCCGGCCCTGCGCCCCTCTGCCCGCCTTACCCGAGTGGGAGCAGAGCTGTGGGGCCAGGGCCTCGTGGTCCGCCAGGAGGGCCAGCAGCTTCACGGCCAGCAGCACGCCGGGCAGGGCCGCGTCGGGGCGGAGGCACCGCGCCAGCAGCGGGAACACACACTGGAACCTGGAAAGCAGGCCGAGGTGGACGCCTGCCCCCCGGCTCTCCTCTTCTCATCGGGGGCCAGGGCACACGGCCCCGAAGGCCCGACTCAGGCCAGCCGCCCACTCCTTCCACAGGAGCAGCACTGCCCTCGCCGGCCGGCTGCGGCCGGTGGCAGCCTTGCCCACTCAGTGCCACCAGGGAGAGGCCGGGCCACACCCTAGCGAGCGCTTTCCTGCTCTGAGGCCGGGGAGAGCACAGAGTCCACCACCCGGGGCCTGGCCAGGCCCCCCTCCGTCCGTGCGGGAAGGCCCACTGTGAGCCCGGGGACCGAGTCCCAAGGCAGCCACTTGCTGCTTGTCCGGCTGCACAGCCTCATGGGTGGGAGGCAGTCCTACGTGCCCCCCCCCCGCCCCCAGCCTGAGCACCAGCACCGGGCTGACGATTCCCAGGATGCACTAGGACGGGCCACTCTTTTAGTTTGGGGCGGAGAAGCCGAAGGTGCTGCCCCAGGGATGCCGGATCGAACGTGGCCCCTAACAGACTGGCTGCAGGGAAAGTCCCCTTCGTGTTGGCAGTGGGTCCACGGCCACAGCAGCGCCTCTCTGACCCACGCTCGCTGGGGGTGAGGGTTCTGTGCCCGAGGCCCCGTCCCAGTGCCTGGGAGCAGCCTGGGCCTGCTGCTACCAGCGTCCGAGGTGGTGTGCCCTCACACCGGTGGGCACAGTGCCCTGCCTTAGAGCGAGGCACCCTCCCAGGTGGCACCTGTCCTGGCCTTCATGCCAAGTTCAAGTTCAATGGGAGCAGTGCGGTGGCTCCGCCTCGAGGAAGGAACCGGAGTCGTTCCGAGGGGGAGGCGGGGTCCGTGACCAAGGGCCAAGCTGGAGCCCACCCAGCACATGCCCTCTGGGGTCTCGGGGCGGGGCTGCGGGAAGCCCTGGGGGCTGATGGCTGCTGTCCTAGGGATGCAGGACGGTGTTTGTCAAGAGGAACGGTGAAGATGTGGTCCCTGGTGCGTCCCCTAACAAACACGAAACCACCAGCCAGCCCGAGCTGGGCTGCCAGGCACCTGGGGGCGGCCCTGTGCCCACCAGCTGCCCACGTGCCCTGCAGTCCTGCCGGCCCTGAGCGTCACCGCAGGAGGGTGGCAGCCAGGACACGGGTGCCGAGGGAACAGCTGCGCTCGGGGAGGAAGGCGGGGGGCGGCAGGGAGGGTACTGGGCGAGGGCACGGCTGGACGGTGTCAGGAGCTCCCGGCGTGCAGCTCTGAGCCCCACGCTGGGAACTGAGGACCAAGCGCTTGTGAGCTGGGCCAGCCACGCCATCACTTCCACAGACCCCAGGAGTGGTCAGCCTGTGGCTCACGCACAAGGTGGGCACAGCGATGGGCTCACCCCCTGCACCTGCTGCTTCCTGGGACCCTTACATGTGGTGGCGACGTGTGGTCTCTGCCTGACCCACGTCCGGGCCAGCCACTCTCCCCGGGCTCATAGCGCCTTCACCACGTGTCTCTGCTCACCTGCTGTGCGGGCAGCATTGCCCAAACGAACACTTCCCTGGCTCTCCCAGTACCCAGTCCCACTGCCCACCACTCAGAGCTCCCGACAGGCCTTGGGACCTAAACCAGCTCAGCAGTCCGCAGTCCACGGGCCACAGGATGACCCGCAGGAGGTCAGGGAACAGACCACTCGCAGGCGGCACGGTACCTGGGCAGGAGCTCCAGGGGAGCGCTTTCCGCTGACGTCACCAGCACCGTGAGGCCCGGGCTCAGGAGGCTGGCCTGAAGGTGCCCGGGGGCTGCAGCGGAGAGAGCCAGCAGGCGGAGCAGCGTCTCCAGCAGGGGGTGCCGGTCTTGGCCCCCCGCGGCAGAGGTGGCCTCCCCAGGGGGCCGCGGGCTCTGGCTCCCGTGCCCAGCGGCAGAGCCCGCCTCCGCGCCGGACAGCAGGCGGCGGACCACGGCCCCGCTGTGGCACACCAGGTGCCGGAGGACGCCCAGCGCGGCCAGGCAGCAGCTCTCCAGGCTGCACGGCGCGTCCTCGGCGCCGGCCTCCGCCCTGGAGCCCCCGCAGGACCGCGCGGGCGAGCCCGCGGGCGTGCCGCTCCTCCGGGCGGCCGCCGAGTCCTGCAGCGCCTGGCAGTGCGCGCCCACGAAGAACTGCACCAGCGGGAGCAGGTGCACGGCGCCGGGAAGCGGGCTGAGCGGGAAGGCCCCGTCACAGGAGTCCTCTTCCCTGGCGAGCAGGTTCAGCCCCGTCAGCGCCAGGCTCTGTGCTTCCCGGAGGGCCGAGCGGGGGAAGGGCCCATCGCCAGGGCCCGTGCTCCTCAGGCCTGACACCGCAGCCCCCGCGCTAGCGACAGACAGAGGAAGGCGAGTGAGGACGGCGGTCAGGCCCAGACAACTTGCCTCCCCGAGTCCCCGTCTGCCCTGTCCAGCCACAGGCCTCCCAGGCTGGCCAAGGCCAGAAGTTCTGGAAACTTCTCTCTAGACACGCTTTGTAGGAGTCCTGCTCACCTGCCAAGCCCCGGGGGCTGCAGCAGAGTGCTGGTGGGAGCCTCAGAACCATAGCTCAGGAGGTGGCACAGACCGAGGGGCGACCCTGGGGCCAACGGCTGCTGCAGGAGGAGGTTTATCAAAATGGAACCTGCAGGAAGGAGGGCGACTCTGGACGGTGCCCACACGGGAGGCCTTCTGTGGCCTCAGGGGAAGCGGAGGGGCCCCGGGTGCCGCGGGCTCTGGGACATGCTGCTGTGCCCCTGCCGTTCTCAGTCCGCTGCTGGTCACCACCTGGCCTCTCCGGGACCCGGGAAGGACGGCGCCTCGGAGCGCGGCAGCTCCTGGCACTGGCGCGGCTGCCGCCGCCAGAGCACAGCAGAGCCGGCGGCCCCTGCAGCGCACAGGGGCTCCGGTACCTCGAGTGTTGGGTCTCCGCATCAGGCTGCCAACAGGGCTCTTTGGGGGCTCTTCTTGCTTTGTGGGGTCACCTCCCAGACTGTGGGTCCTCTTTTCTGAAACATAAAATGTGAATCCAAGCACAGGCATTTCAGAAACATCCAATACGATGGGCTAACACACAGATGCTCCTACTTCTGGCCAGAGCAACCCAAGGTCCCTCGTGCCTTCGTCTTCGCGTGAGACCGGAGCTCCCGCACGAAAAGGGAGACACTTAGGTCGTGTGCCCTCCTGGCAGCGAGCAGGGTCAGCGCAGCAGCCGCTGCTGCTGCCCATTCGCTGCCCAGCACCCCGACCAGCTGTTGTCATCAGCTGTTTACATGCAGGACCACCGAGGCACAAGCCGGTAAGCAGGGGCAGGGCCTCCTGGCCAGGCGGTGGGCTCCACTCCCGTCTCTCTTTCTCTCTCTCTCACACACACACACACACACACACCCCGTGGCTCCGGGACTCGGGGTGAGTGCGGGGTGCTCAGAGGTGGCCACAGCCCGCCGGGGAGGGAGCGTCTGAGCAGAAGGGAGCGGGCCCAGCAGTCTCAGCGGAGCCTTCCTGCGGCCGGACTGTCTCTGGACGGCAGGAGCGGCCCTCAGCCTGGCGGGCGGGACAGCTGGAGGCTGGGGGAGAGA